TTAATATAATTTCTTTTTTAAATGTTCGATAGAATTAATTGGCCCATCTGTGTCTGGTGCTTTCTGTTTTTGAAGGTTATTGATTATTGATTTAATCTCTTTAATAGATACCGGACTACTCACATTGCCCATTTCTTCATGTGTGACATTGTGTCTTGGAAGGAATCGATCCATCTCATCTAGGTCATCAAATGTGGGCATACAGTTGTTCATAGTATTCCTTTATTATCTTTTTAATGTCTGTGGATCTGTAGTGATGGCCTCTCTTTCATTTCTCATATTGGTAAATTGTGTCCGTTCTCTCTTTTTCTTATTTAGCTTGGGTAGAGGCTTACTGATTTTATTGACCTTTTCCAAGAACCAGTTTTTGGTTTGGTTAATTTTATCTATTGATTTCTTATTTTCCATTTTGTTGATCTCTGCTCTAATTTTTATTTCTTTTTCTTCTGCTTACTTTAGATTTAATTTTCTCTTCTTTATTTAGTTTCCTAGGATTAAAGCTGAGGTGATTGATTTTGGGCTTTCTTCTTTTATAATATACACATCCAATGTTATATATTTACCTCTAAGCATTGCTTTCATTGGATCTCACAAATTTTGATAAGTTGTGTTTTCATTTTCTTTAGTTCTAAGTCTTTCTAAATTTCTCATTATATTCCTGCTTCTACTTATGTGTCATTTAGAAGTATGTTGTTGAATCTCTAAGTGTTTTGGGATTTTCCAGCAATTTTTCTGTTATTGAGTTTTAGTTTAATTCCACTGTTGTCTGAGAACAGGCATTGCATGATTACTTTTCTTTTAAATTTGTTCAGGTATGTTTTATGGCCCAGAACACAGTTCATCCTGGCGAATGTTCTATGTAACTTTGAGAAGAATGTGTGTTCTGTTGTTGAATAAAGTGGTCTACAGATGTTCATTACATCCAGTTGAAGGATGATGTTGTTGAATTCAGTCATGTTCTTATGGATTTTCTGCCTGCTGGATTAGTGCATTTCTGACAGAAGGGTGCTGAAGTCTCCAACTATAATCTTTGATTCATTTATCATTTATTTCTCATTCTTTGTTTTATCAGTATTTTCCTCACTTAATTTGATACTCTGTTGTTAGGTGCAGACACATTAAAGGCTGTTACGTCCTCCTGAGTAATGGACCCTTTTATCAGTATGTAATACCTTTCTTTATCTCTGATAATTTCCTTTGTCAAAAGTCTGCTCTGTCTGAAATTAATATAGCTATTCCTGCTTTCTTTTAATTAGTATTAGCATGGTATGTTTTTCTGTATCCATTTACTTTTAATCTATATGTGTCTTTATATTTAAAGTGTGTTTCTTGTAGATGACATATGGTTGGGTCTTACTCATTCTGACAATCTCCTTCTTTTAATTGTTGTATTTAGACCACTGATGTATTTGAATTTAGTATCTGCCATATTCGCTACTGTTTTCTATTGATTGCCTTTGTTCTTTGTTACTATTTTGTCTTGTACTCTTTTTCTGCTTTTTATACTTCTATGGAGCATTTTATATAATTCCATTTTTTCATTTGTTAGCATATCAGTTATACTTCTTTATTTTCCCTTTTTATAGTGGTTGCTGTTAAATTTTGCAATATACATTAACAATTAATTCAACTCTACTTTCAAACAACAGTATTTCACATCATGAGTAGTGTGACTACTTCATAATAATAAAATGATCCTAATTCTTCTCTCTGGTCCCTTGTATCACTGTTGTCGTTAATTTCATTAATATATTAGTATATATTAATATATATACAAATACACCATTGTTATTAATACTTTGAACCAATTGTTATCTATTAGATCAATCAAAACTACAAAAAATAGAAGTTTTAATTTTTCCTCCACTTATTTCTTCACCAATGTTCTTCCTTTCTTTATGTAGACTTGAGTTTCTGACTTTTATCCTTTTTTTTTTTTTATCTCTACAGAACATCTTTAACATTTATTGAAAGGCAGGTCTACTGGCAACAAATTTCCTCAATTTGTGTCTGAGACTGTCTTAATTTTCTTTTCTCTTTTGACGAATAATTTCACAGGGTGCGGAATTCTATGTTGGTTTTTTTTCTCTTTCAGTACTTTTAATATTTCACTCCACACTCTTCTTGCTTGCATGATTTCTGAGGAGAAGCTGCATGTAATTCTAATCTTTGTTCTTTTATAGGTAAGGTGTTTTTTCCTTCTGGCTTCTTTTATGACTTTTCCCTTTATTTTTTATTTTCTGTTGTTTAGAAATTATATGTTTAGGTGTAGATGTCTGGGTTTTTTTTTTGGCATTTATTCTTTTTGGTATTCTCTGAGCTTTCTGGATCTGTGGTTTGGTATCTGACATTCATTTGGGGGAAATTCTCAGTTATTATTGTTTCAAATTATTCATTTATTCCTTTCTCTTTTTCTTTTCCTTCTGGAATTTCCATTATGCGTATGTCACACCTTTTGTAACTGTTTTTTTCTCCCTGGAGTTTTTATTTCTTGGATATCCTCTTCTACTTTTTTTTTCAGTCTTCTTCTCTTAGCTTTTAAGTTTTGGTGGTTTTTAATAGCTATACTCTCAAGCTCAGAGATTCTTTCCTCAACCATGTCCAATCTACCGATAAGCCCATCAAAGGCATTCTTCATTTCTGTTACACCATTTTTGATCTCTAGCATTTATTTTTCATTCTAATGATTTCCGTCTCTCTGCTCATCTGTTCTTGAACGCTGACTAATTTATCCATTAGAGCCCTCATCATTTTAATCACAGTTGTTTTAAATTTCCCGTTTGATAATTCTAACATCCCTGTCATATCTGAGACTGGTTTTAATGTTTCCTCTGTTTCTTCAACCTGTTTTTGCCTTTTAGTATTTCCTTTTTTTTTTTTTTTTTATAACTGCACATGATATGCTGAGTAAAAGAAATGGATGTAAGTAGGCCTTTAGTAATGTGGTGGTAAGGTTTAGGGAGAAGGGAAGTGTTTCGTGTTATGGTTAGGTCTCAGTCTTCCAGTGATCCTGTGCCTCTGGATTCCCAGAAGACTGAGAAGCTCTGAGAATCTCATGTGCTTCTCAGTCTTCTCTGTCCCCTTTCATGGGACAGGATGCTACAGTAGGCTGGAGTTGGGTGTTTCTCTTCCTTCAGGTTGGTTAGTCTCTGACAAAACGTCATCTGGTTAGGTTTTTGGTATCTAGTTTCTCCAGAGGGAAGACTTTGTTAAGAGGAATAGAATGCTCTGGTGCATTTCAAAAATAGTTCCTTCCCCCCTTCCCCTGCTGGAAACGCTAGGGGATTTTTCTCCAATATTTCCTGTGAAACCTGGTTGAGCTCCTGGAGGTAAGAATCATAAAAATAAGGGGCCTCCCAATGATTGGGACTCCCTAGAGTTTTTATTTCTTAGACTGGTCCATGCTGAGCATCCAGTAATTCCTCGGTTATTGTCCTGGTTTTCTACTATGGTTCTGATTCCTGGGGGAGTTTATGCTTTGAGGTTTTTGCTTCCACAAGTCATGCATCTTTGCATTTGCCTATTTCTCTAATTTGAGGGGGAGTGGTTTGCTCTGTGACCCACTTTTCTGATGGGTCTAGAATGGTTACTAATTTTTCAGTCTGTTCGGCTTTTTACTTTTGTTTGGATGGAGTGGCCACTTCCTGCTCCTTACATGCCAGACCAGCAACTGGAAGCACCTGAAACTTCTTAAAGTGCATATGACCTATTGATGCCTCTTTTGTAACTAAGCATATACATGTGATCCATATACCCCAAAATGTAGGTAGTGGGTAAGAGAGGAAGAAGAGTGATTAGATTCCTAAAACCACAGAGAATTAGAATTAAACAGTTAGAATTGTAAATATCTTTGTGTGTCTGAGCAAGTACCACTGCAATTTTGGAGTATTAACCAAGTAAATAATTATACTAGAAAATGCAGAAAATAGTAACAAGATATCCAAAAAGAAGGAATCTCTAAGCAAGATTTATTTGCTTAATTCAATAAAGATTTAAATTTATACTATCTGGGGAAAATACCATTATCCCTTATGCCATTTTCTTTGTGATTGTAGTAGATAGATGGTTAAAACTACAGGAGACTAATTTTCATTAGTTTAAATAATAAATTACTAGCCAAACTATTTAAAGATTTAAGAGATATCACTGAAAAAATTAATACTGAAAAACTAATATCTGGAGAAAAGAAATTTTAGATGCAATAAATAACTATATGAAATTCATTTCCTGCTTTGAGAAGGGGAGGGAGAGCTATGTTCATCAGATCACAGTTGCGGAAAGGAACTCAGACCCCAAATGAGCATAGCTGTGAGGTATATCGAGGGGTCTGCCCTGAGTCCAATGATGTGGGCTGATTAGAACGTACCTGAAAGCAGGTGTTGAGATGTTGATTGCCATGGTAGGTCCTCAACAGTTACAAAACTTTTACTACAATGCATTTCAAACTTCAATATGCAATGAATTATCTAACCTAAAGATCTTGGTAAAATTGTGATTCATTAGATCTGGGATGGGGACTGACAGTCCACATTTCTAACAAAATCCTAGGGGATGCCGATGCTGCTTGTATCTGTAGACTACATTTTGAATATTAAAGTTCTACACAATGTCTCCTGGAATAGCAGTTCTCAGACTATGATTAACAGACTAGCAGCAACAGCATCACCTGAGAACTTAATAGAAATGCAAATTCTTTGGTTCTATCCAGGCCAACTCAATCAGACACTCTGGGAGTTGGGATCCGGTCATTTGCAGTTTAACAAGCCCTCCAGGTGATTGCGATGCCTGCTTAAGCCTGAGCATCATTGATCTAGAGAAGTATCTTGCAGCCATATTTGAATTACCTGGAAGCTTAAAATAATTAGTCACTGGTTTCCAATTAAATCAGAATCACAGGATGTGGGACCCTTTATTATGGGTTTTTTTAAAAAACCCTCCTCATTTGATTACAATGTGCAGTCAGGTTTGAGAACCACTGCCTGAGAGATAGGCCCACTTACTTCAGGAGTCTTTGCCAGCAAAAGTCTGGTGGGGGTGGGGGTGTCTGGGTCTTCTGGGCCAGTGACTCTGACTGTGCTCCTCTTCACTGTTGCTTTGCACCTGTAACCAAGAACCCACAGAACTCAGCCAGAGCCAAGGGGGAAAGGGAGTAAGGAAAGGTGCAGGTGGCAGGTTGCTCTAGAGGAAGGAGGCTGAGTATACTTGAGATACAGCCTCTTCTGTGCTGTTAGGGACACAGTAGTGAGAAAGGCAGGAGCTGAGGTGTGGTTCTACATTCAATGAGAGGTGACATACATGCAAATGATATTTCAAATAATCACAGCTACTTTTTGTGGCAAGGATTTAAAAGCTTTTTAAAGAGATCCCAACATTTCATGGAAGTACCTTCCATAGACCCAGGCAAGAAGAGTTCTGAGTTTTAGAGCATCCATACAGTGAAGAGTTGGTGGACTTAGAGAATATGCCCACCAAGTCCTGCATTATTCCTTCTAGAACATTCTTTGGTTACCCTGAATCACAATATTTGCTGGTTAAATGGCCCCAAGCCAGTGGCAGGAATGTGCACTGGTTTTGCCTGATGACTGTTCTCTCGAGGGCTGACCTCTCCAGTAGTGTATGCAGCCTAGGCCCAAAAGATGACCAATGGCTGTTTGTGTAGGTAGGAGCTTGTGGCATTTGGATGTGTAGGCTCAGGTGACCAGACATGGACATGCAAGGTCCCTCATGGTATAGGACAGGTCTGGGCACGGGAAGAAAAGGGGATAGGTCAGGAGCTGGGGAGTGGTTCCGCTCACACTGTCACATTCTAGCACAGAAGTCCTAAGAGTCTGAGACTCCTAGATTGAAATCTGGACTTCTAGGTCTTTATGATTAGATATTTGTCAAGGTAAGGGAGAATGTATTTTATTTAAGAGTGTTCAGCTTTGTGTAATACTGTCCTCCATTTGTACTCTTATGAGGACCAGAGCAAAGGGTAATGACAGGTGTACTTAATGAAAACATTTAATGGTGATCAGATCAGGTAAGTATTACTAAAGGAGCTCTGAAAACTCAACTGCTCTTAAGAAGCCAGGCCTATTTCTCTTTCTCCCTGTATATTAACCCTAAATTCAATTCAGAAAGTGGTATATCTGGCTAGGATAGGAAGCCTGGATTTTTTTTCCTCCCAAGGGTCCTAACCCCTTCATCTTCTGGGAAAGAATCTACAGCCTTTCTCTGCCAGTCTCTCCCTCACTTCCAACCCACTTACCTCCTCCAAGTCCAAAGTGTCCTGTGGCTGCAGGGTTAAAGATCGACGCAGTTCTGGTCTTTCTGCCCTCTCCTTCCATTTCTGCTGGATGATGGACAGGTCCAAGGACTTAACCTTCCTGCCCATGAGATTCTCCTGGAACAGGCTCTTTCTTGCTCTGATCTTTCTTTTCCAGAAAGTCTCATCCTTGTCTGAATGGGTTTCTGGATTGGTGGCTGATAAACTACACAGCTCTCTCCCTATCTGAGCTGGGTCTGTGTTCCACTGTGGATCTGCTATGGGCAGAGAATGTGTGCAACAAGGTACCTTGGGGTTCGAATCCAGAGTTTGTGATGGTGCTGGAACTGTGGACATCCCCTGCTGTGTTTCCTCTTTGCAGTGGAGGACACATGGACAGGGAGAAGTGGGCAGCTTTGTACCCTCGACAGGGGGCACAGGATCTTCCTGTGAGAATTGCCCTAAATCACAGTCTTGCTGGAGGACCTGCTTCTCTTCTTTCACTTTGTCCATCGCTTCCCACACAACTTGGTCCAAAATGTTCTTTCTGGGGGTGTTGTGCGGTGGTGGTGGTGGCCGATCTCGGGGGCATGTGTACAAGCACATCTTGGAGATGGCTTTCCGAAGGCGGTCTCTGGGTGAGTGGGGTTCAGGCTCTCGGGACAGAATCCTGATGGATGGCACATCAGTTGGATGGTTGCAATTCCAGAACATATGGGATGGTGTGAACTTTTGGACAGGTGTCTTAGACACATAGGAGTAGAGACAGAAGAAGGCATCAGCAGTGACAGCCAGTGTTTGCACCTGCTTAAACCTGCCTGGGTACAAGAGTTAAAGATGGTGAGTCTGGGGTTCATCAGCAAATTTTCTTAAATATCTCCCTTCAGAAGCCTCCCCAAAGCTCAAAATTCAGGGAGAAGCTTCCAATTTTCCTACTAGTGTTTCTCCCTTTTAGATTTCTAACACCCAGGGTCCTTTTCTTGAATTCCTTGCTCCTTGACACCCCATCCCAAGTAGATATTCCAACTGGGAAATAAAAAAGAGGGATAAGATTTATTGACATCATGCTGATATGATTCACCAAAAGGCAAGAAGGCCTAAAGGAAGCAGTAGTGGTCTGAAGCCTCTTGATGGCTATTTCTTTAAGAGAAATAATCAGACAGAGTTCTCCATCTTCACTGAAGACAACATAAGAGGAAATAGACACAATAGGCAAAGGGTCAATGCTAACCAAGAGAAAGCAGGATTTGGAGCCACTGAGCCCTGCTGTGGAAGTCTAAAGGTTAAGGGAAGTAGAGCAGGTGTCTGTGGGGTGCACTCACTGGCCAGCATGAGGCAGGGATCTTCCATTTCAATCCTCCGCACCTGGGACTTCAGGAAGAGCTGGAAATCAATGCCCCTGGCTTGAGAGGGGTTGGTGAAAAATCGGGCGGGTATCCGAGAAGTGTCTTTGCGGTCCTCTTGGGCAAAGCCCAGACTGAAGAGGACATCTTCTGCATCTTCTTGCACTTTGTCCAGAATCTCTGAGATGCTGAAATGAGGGAGTTTGGGTAGATAAGGGACAACTTTGAGACCTATGGTAATTTAGAATTTCTAATAAAAGTGTCAGTAGGCTGAAGTTCTTTTCTGTCCATTTCTGTACTTTTCACTGTGACTTAAGCCAAGCGTTCACTTCTCTGCACCTAAATTATCTGTCTGACACATGGAACTACAGTCCAACCCTAGTTCTAAAAACTGAATAAGATTTTAGTACAGTGCTTTGAACAACTTATTGCAGATGAATAAAAGTTTAATATGAAAGGATTTTGAAAAATGAAGAGCAGTTCAGATATGAATAAGTGTCACGGTTGCATCATTAAGTACTCAGTTCCCAAATTTGCCATTCGACTTGCCCCTGTGGTTGTTGTGTGGGACAACTAGGCAATGAATGTGTGAGGAACATAGCACCCCCAAAGGCAAGACCTGAAAGCCAAAAATAGTAAGTACATCCAAAACCTGATTTTGAGGGGTATACTCCTTTCTAGCACTATTCTCAGGACAGAAGTCCTGTGTCACAAAAGATCGTGTGCACGTGCTCTCTCTCTATGGCATCAACCTGTATTTACGTCTAAATCGATTTCCACCAAGCTGGGTGACACCAGAGCTTAGTAACTGTATTTCATTGAGGCTAAGGGAAGCTGTTATTGTTTGAGGCTTTGAATAATCACTATCACTCTCTTCAGAAAGTATGTTGGGCTTTTTGATCAAATAGGGACCACCTTGTTTCACTAACAGCTGGACAGTCGGAATCTCTGGATCTACTCTTGTGTTTGCCAGCCTAGTGATCATTTTATTTTCATGGTCCTAAGTTTCCCTATCTGTGAATTGTGGGCATAAGACTGAATCAGTGCGTCCCAACCGTGGCTACAGGTAGGGTCACCTTTGTGGGCTTTAAAAATGCATATATTTGAATCCTTTCTCTGATTTAATTGACGTAGGGTATGGTTAGGGCTAAGGCTCAGTGAGGATAAGTTACTAGACATGGTCATGTGGCAAAAATTTAAGTCTCAGAACCAGGTCTCAAATTCAAATTTTGACTTCAATTCCGGATACTTTTCATTACATCATGCTAGTTTTCATGACTTTTCATCTTTTTTAAAGTTATTTATGTGTAGATTTTGTCCACTCTATTAAATCATTGAGCTCCTGGGGTCAAGCATCTTTTTTATTTTTAAGTTCTGGGGTACCTTTGCAGGATGTGCAGGTTTGTTACCTAGGTAAATGTGTGCCATGGTGGTTTGCTGCACCTATCAACCCAACACCTAGGTATTAAGCCCCTCATGCATTAGCTATTTTCCTGATGCTCTCCCTTCTCTCACCCCACCCCCCGACAGATCCCAGTGTGTGTTATTCCCCTCCCTGTGTCCATGTGTTTTCATTGTTCAGCTCCCACTTATACGTGAGAACATGTGGTGTTTGGTTTTCTGTTCCTGTGTTAGTTTGCTGAGGACAATGGCTTCTAGCTCCATTCATATCCCTGCAAAGGACATGAACATATTCCTTTTTATGGCTGCATAGTATTCTATGGTGTACATGTACTACATTTTCTTTATCCAGTCTATCATTGGTGGGCATTTGGGTTGATTTCATGTCTTTGCTGTTGTGAATAGTACTGCTTCATCTTTTCAAATTCCGTACAGTCATTGCCTGGCCTGCCTGTCAGAGTGATTTAATATTTTATTGCTTCATTCAATCAACAAATTAGTCAACTAATCAATACATTGTTTACTAAGAACCTACCATGAGTTTTGGAACTGTGATAGTACCAATATTATACCTCCTGGGGTACAAGTTTCAGTGGGAGGAGACATCTGTATTTTATACATAGTATTTAGCTCTGAGAAGATTCCTCTGCATACTCCACAATTCTTGAAATAAATATGGTCACGTTTTTCAAGTATGCAGAAAAAGTATATAAAAGCTTCAGTAAGATACCCCAGAAAAAATAGGCAATGGCTCTTGGTCTCATTCTCCTATGCTTCTCATCTCCACCCTTCCACCCTGCCACACTTTAGTACCTACCTTGAACTAGTCCTGTTGGTCCCCCCAGTCATGCTGCTGGAAGCCAAACTACAGCCAAGATCAAGTAGCTGGCAAGGCCTGGCTGTCTCGAGGAAACTCCTGCAGAGATCAAAGCTGATGTCATACAAATCTTGTTTCCAGTCTGCACCCTGGCTTCAAGGAATCCCTGCTGGGCTTATTTACACCCGATGGGTACCTTTTAGTCTGTGCTGTGGTTGCTGGTTGTAAAGTCCCGCTCTCTAATGTGAATCTTTAGCTCTTTATTTAAATCTCTTTGACCTACTCCAATTCACTGATTCTTGAAGGAGACAGAATTCAGCCTGGCTGAACCTAACACTTACCTGGAAAAGAGTTTGCCATTGGCGGCCAGCAGTGTGGCTGGACAAGAAACAGAGAAGTAAAGAGAAAATTAGAAGGAAAAATGAAAATCACCTGTGTTACTCCTCGGAACTTAAAATTAATTCCCCTCTGTTTCCTTTTGTCACTTTGACGGGCTAGCTGGACCCCATGCCTTCTGCTCCTCTTGGGGCCTCAAGATTACCTAACACAGTTCTGGAATAGGGACAGATATGCCAGAGACAAATTGGCTTCGAGCCTCTGAACTTCTGACCCATGACTGATGTCTAGACAAGAGGCCCTCTGTCTAAGGAGGATAGAGTCATTCGGCCCTCCTGGGAAGTGTTTCTGTCACCCTACACGAGTCTTTACAGTTCCCAGGAGACACTGGTAGGCTGCTGTGATTTCATTCTTTACTGATGCCCTTATCCTCCTGCAGTACAGTCTCTCTGCTACACCCAATGCACAGACTTGTTTGGAGTGTCTGTACAGAAAACCATCTTAAAGATATCCGGGCAGCAAATGTTATAATAATTTTATATGTTACCTTCCCAGAGGCCAAAGGAAAGTTCCAATGATGAACCAGCAGGAGTCATGACAGGCTGATAAGGAAGTGTTTCTGGGCATGAGATGTCTTCTGTATTTTACATTAGATCATAATGAGACTGCCCTTTTCCTACAGATAAGACCCCAGGGATGGGCCGTTTCTTTCTGAAGTTTTGTACTTCCATCTTATCATGAATTCATCCAATGTATATCCTGTTTTCTTTTCCCAATCTCAGAGAACTGTGCCACTTACCCTCTGCTCCTAGGGTCAAGTCATCTTCAAAGCTGGTCCCATGGCTGCAGAAGCCTGTCAAGTAATCAGGTGAGGGTCACAGAAAATCAGGATGGAACATATACACATGCACATACACACACCCTTGCATACACAAACATCTTCACATACCTTTAGACTACATTTGCACAACCACATAATCATACTAGATATCCACATTTGCAGAATTACCACAAACTCTACATTTACCACCTCAGAAGTTATATTCATTTTTGATTCAGAAAGAATCATGCATACTGTAACCTTTCCCCTATATCATATAGTTATGTACACAGTCCCCTGCCAAACAGCAAACACATGGGTGTGTGCACTCAGAACCATATAAACACATCTTTTATAAAGTTCTTTTCCTATAGCAGTGGTTGCTATCTGAGCAGCCACTAGCAGAAGATAGCCTTTGACTATCAGTGAGCCTGTGGGCTCTGAGCCAGCACTTTCTTCTTAATTTTCTGGAGCCTTGTGACCACAAACAGTGTTTTGCAGCCAGTTTAGGAACACTCAGGCACTCTTTTGCCTGCCTATGCATGTATATGTGCATAAACACTCACACACACACACACACACACACACACACACACACACAGGTATATCACTCTCCAGGTAGAAGAACAATAGAAAGACAGAACCTATACTCACCATTGCAGATAAACTGTCCTGCTTCCTCAGAAAGTCCTTCTTCAGAGTATCTAAACCAAAAACAGTCTTATAGGTTGAAGTCACTTATGTTTTTCTTGAAGCTTTTTCAGGGAAAAAGCTCCCACATGTTCATATTCTTTTCCCATGAGAGTCAGTAGTATTTAATTTGCTTTTATATTGGAGAAAATGGGGACAGAGTGGTTACTGGACCAAAACTTTCATCAGAGTAGTTGGGGAAACTGGGGCTGGAATGCTTTATGTTTTACATTGTGCTTCTGTTGTCCTGGCCACAGGATTAAAGGACAAAAGTCAGCTTAGCAATGATTCTTCAGTCTTTAGGCAAAATAGGAAAGAAAGAACATTGAAGCAAAACTGGAGAATTACACTTGTAGAAGCCAGGGTTTGCTTGCCATAGTTTTCAAATCACAAATATAAATATCTAGGTTTTCTTAAAACTTTTAGATCACCTTAACTACCACACTTCTTTCCTTCTCTCTGAACCATGTTATTGCCGAAAATCATGTCTTTCAGGAAAAGCAGAAACCGTATCCTGGTTAGAAATATTTTAAAATTTTGAGACACAGTCTTATCAAACATTTACCATCTCCACTAGAAGAACAGATGGAAATCAGCACAAATAGTAGTGAAAGACAGCTCAGTTTTACAAACAAGGAAGAAATTCTCTCTGTCCAAAACAGGTGTGTGAAGTAATCCGTGACAAGGCTTTGACACGGGACCAACACATCTAGATTCACATCCTGGCTCGTTGTGGCTGTTTTTTTTTTTTTTTTTTTTTTTTGAGACGGAGTTTCGCTCTTGTTGCCCAGGCTGGAGTGCAATGGCGCGATCTCGGCTCACTGCAACCTCCGCCTCCTGGGTTCAGGCAATTCTCCTGCCTCAGCCTCCTGAGTAGCTGGGATTACAGGCATGCGCCACCATGCCCAGCTGATTTTTTTTTGTATTTTTAGTAGAGACGGGGTTTCACCATGTTGACCAGGATGGTCTCGATCTCTTGACCTCGTGATCCACCCGCCTTGGACTCCCAAAGTGCTGGGATTACAGGCTTGAGCCACCGCGCCCGGCCCGGCTGTTTTGTTTTTAAATATTATGTAAGGGAATTTGGATCCCTAGATATTATCATCATCTAAGTCTACTTCAAGTGCTGAAGTGTTGTGAGTTTTGTAGAGTTTGCTTTCCTAAAGCTTTTTACATGGAAGTTGTTCACGGTGCTGTAAATGTTATCCCAAGTGGATGTTGGAGGGGAAAAGGGTCAGTAACATAAGTTAGCAGGGAAACGAGTACACCCACTGTTGCTGGTTTAAAGGAGGTTTTCTCTTTCTCAGTCTCCAGCAATCCAGATTACTCTCACACTACTGGAGCATCACCTCATGGAGTGTGTAACAGTGGGAATGGGCTTACTAGCCAAGATACCTGTAGATCAAGTTCTGCCTAAATTTTTACAAAATAAGTCATTACCTATGTAGACATCTTTTGCTTGTAACTCCTTTAAATAGTAAAAAAAAAAAAATCAACCATGTTTACCAAAATCTGAATTTTATATGGCCTTATGAAAAATGCTACATCAAAGGTTCATTATATAATGTAAAATAATGGGCAAGCTAGTTAAGAAAAGGTAACTTGAATAATACACCTAGAACTACAAATATATTTTTCTGTTCCTAATATATAATTACATAAAATGTGTTGTGGTATAATACTACAAACATATGTATAACTATATATAATATTTACTACTAACAAATAGCATGATAACCAATATAGTCATACACCAGAATATTGCAATTTACTATTGCATTTAATGCTTGTGTTGTAGCTGCACAATAGTGCAACTACTAAGGCCCACTGTTACTAGAAGTACAATTTAAATAGACTACAATTCCATTTCTAGGTTGTACCCAATGGGCATGCCCGTATATGTTCCCCCAGGTAAATACTAGTCATGATACCAAGAAATGGAAGCCTCCAAATCCCTACTTATTATAAAATTAAACAATTAAATAATAACCATACAACTTAATATTACACAATAATAGAAATTGACTTACTGCTGTATGTGAATACATGGAGAAGCATCATAAACATAATACTAAGCAAAAGAAACACACATAAAACAGTACATGTCATCATATGACTCTACTCCTATAAAGTTCAAAATGATCCCAAACATATCTATGATGTTACAAGTCAGGGTATTTGCTACCCTTGGAGGCAGGATAGTGAATGGAAGGGATGGAAAGGCGGCGTTTGGAGTGCTGGTAATGCTCTGCTTCAGGTTTCATGGGTGTATTGTCTTTGCGAAAATTCATTGAGCTATTTATGTATTTATTTATTGGCTTATTTATTTATTGACAGGGTCTCACTCTGTCTCTCAAGTTAGAGTGCAGTGGCATAGCTCATTGTAGCCTTGAACTCTTAAGCACAAGGGAGCCTCCTGCCTCAATCTTCTCAGTAGCTAGGAATACAGGTGCTGCCATGCCTGGCTAATTTAATTTTATTTATTTATTTATTTATTTTTAGAGAGATGGAGTTGCCCAGGGTGGCCTTGAACTCTTGGGCTCAAGCAATCCTTGTGCCTTGGGGTCCCAAAGTGCTAGGGTTACAGGCATGAGCCATGTGCCTGGCCTCAGCCATATATTTAATACTCATTTATTTTTCAGTGAGTATATAATACTTCAGTATAATTTATATTAAAAAAAGTTACTAAAATGTAGGCTGAACTTCAATAAAATTTACATTTAAAATGTCACTTATAAAATTTCCTGTTTGTCCAAAGCAAAACTCACTTGTATCCATTGGATACAAATTTTTCCTGGGTGCTAATCCTACATTTCTCTTCTTTAGTTATACTCTGCCAGGTATTTCTATTCTCTTAATTAGTAACAGCCCATGATGAGTCTTGGGCAGTCTGTGGAACCTACAACAGCAGGGTGGACATGGACCTGGATTTTTTGGTGGTTTCTCTCTAAGCATGATGATTTGAGACTTTATGGCCATCACTCAAGTCCCAGGCCTTCCCTGGGTTATTGCATAGGTCATAAAATCAATGACCAGGGACTAGATTGATAGCTGCTCCCCTCTTCCTACCCTTGCATTAAAACATTCCTCAGGCCGGGCGCGGTGGCTCAAGCCTGTAATCCCAGCTCTTTGGGAGGCCGAGGCGGGTGGATCACCAGGTCAAGAGATCGAGACCATCCTGGTCAACATGGTGAAACCCCGTCTCTACTAAAACTACAAAAAATTAGCTGGGCATGGTGGCACATGCCTGTAATCCCAGCTACTCAGGAGGCTGAGGCAGGAGAATTGCCTGAACCCAGGAGGCGGAAGTTGCGGTGAGCCGAGATCGCGCCATTGCACTCCAGCCTGGGTAAAAAAAAAAAAAACCCCTCCCCAAAAAAAAAAAAAAAAAAAAAAAAAAAATTCCTCAGCATCATTTCAAGTCTCAAATGAAAGAGCCAAGGTATTGCTCTTTCTGTATACCCAATTCATAAACAAATAGTAGGGAGGAGGGTTTGGAATGTGGAAAGAAGTATATGGCTATTTTTAGCTTCTTCTAGATGTTTCCATAGATACCTGCCTGCAGAGATTTAAGCTGAAGCCCACACAGATGATTTTTGGGCTCCCAACCCCACCTCTGGTGATTCATGAGCAACACAGTCATGTCCCAGAAAATCCTGAGAGCTTAGGAAGAGAAAGAAAAAAGGAGAGGCGTAGTTTGTAAAGACATGCATAATGTGATCCTGTGGCAGAATAGCCTGCTGCTAGATTCAGTTGCACTGAGAAATGTGGACACTAAATTGCCTGAGATGTTGGAGGTCTGTCCTGGAGAGCTTGTCAGAAAAGAAAATGCTCTTGCTACCACAGGGGGTTTGGCTTTGGAAAGAAAAATAGAAACTGTATGGTCTTGGAACAAAATTTGAAAAGTGCCCCCCAGGGTACCTGGCAACAGAGTGAACAGATAACCAGTAAATGTGGGCTACTTGTTCATTCTCTTTCCTTTGTGGTCATGGGGCCTAAGCATGGCATACCGTGGTAGGTCAGAATCTCATATTTAGAATGCGTTTTCCCTCCATCTTCTTCATTATCTATTACCAAAAGTCAAGTGTACTATCACTACCAATCATCGTCATTATCCTTTAATTTTTCTAGCTTTTCCATGTAATTAAAAAGTATTACACACTTATTAGACAGAACTTTAAAACAGAGAAAACTGGAAATTTTCCTGAATCTAACAATTCCCCTTCCAAAGACAACTCTGCAGGTATGTTGATTAACTCTTTATGGCTGGTTCAAAGTTTAAATATTTAAAACCTTTTCAAAACACAGACACGTAATGGAAATGTAACAGACACCCTTGCACCAGTCACTCTATTTTCACATATCTAAACATTTTGCCATATTTGCTTCAGAAAAAATAAAATGTTAAGTTATATATAATGTAAAATAAAAAATTAAATATTAAAGATATAACTAAAGTCTTATTTTACTTCCATTCTTTGCTACTTTTTTCCTTCCTCCAGGTAATCGCTATCTAAGAGTCAACATGTATCATTTCTGGGCATACTTTTTCTGGTAAAAAAAAAAAACAGATGTAGATAGATGGATAGATATAGACAGACATGTTGTAGAATTATAAGTAGGTATAAACTCCTCCTTTATAAAACTCACCAGTCATTCTCTATTAAAAGCATAAAGCACATACACATATATCATGTCATTTAAACCTCACAAGAACCCTTAAACTGAATTATTCTAAGTGTCCCAATTTATAGCTCAGGTGTCTACAATGAACAGAATTTAAGTTATTTGCTTATGGTTACATACTTAGTAGCACAAGAATTAGGCTCAAATCTTGGAGACTTTTAACTAACCAGACCACTTTTAGTCATAAATTTTGGTTCAGGGTTTATTTTTGTAGAGCACGAGTGAAGAAAGACGATTTCTAGAGTTTATTATCTTGTATATCTGTGAATTTATTCTTTTCAATTAGAATGAAATATGGTCTAACTCAAGAAGCATATTTTAACCTACTTGGCACCCCTCTAGGTTATTCAGATAATCAGACAGTTAACAAAAGCGTAATTAATAATTGCTGACATGAATTGATGACTCAAGAGTAGTTAATGAGATAAAGACATTAACTGAGCTGACTGTTTCCCCTGTACACATGTGGTAAAGCATTTTAAATCCTAGGACAGTTCTCATCCTAGGCTTCTCACCCAAACCTGCAAACATTCTGATTACCACCATTCTTTTCTTCCTGTATTTTGAGGGTCCTCTAATTGACTTTGAAGTCAATGAATTGTGAATAAGATGAGGGCAATGAGTACAATAGGTTTTTTTCAAACAACAGAATAAACGCAAAATAAATCCTTCCTGGCATTGCCTTCTTAGGCACAGGTGAAATAAGCAACCTTGGATTATTCGACGCTATTTATTTCCTACCAAATAAGCAAAATGGGTTTCTTTATGTCAATTAATAGTTGAGTGTAGATTAAAGGCTATATAAAACTTGAGACATTCCTGGAGGGAAAATAAGGAGCAGGCAGAAGTTGTCCATTGTGAGAATTCATTATTACACAAAAGACTAAATAGGACACAAATCCCTCCTTTTGTCTGGATATACTGAGTCTAAGAATGGTATAGGCTAATGGGCTGTGGGGTCTCATCATTTAAAGTATCTCTGAGGAAAGAGATAATGCACTTCCTTGAAGTTCCAGTTCCAATTCTTCCCTGCTTTGAATGACTGTCATAGACCCTCAGCTTCTCCTGTGTTCTGCTGTAGAAATAAATAACGCAGATGAAGTGCTCTTCAGCAGGAATGATCAGGTTTCCACTTCCTTTTTTTACACAATGTGAGACTCCAATCTAAAGGGGAAATCAGAGGAGTAGGGGTCTGGAACTCAGCCCAGCTATCCCCCATCCACTCTTCGCTTTAGACCAAGCCCAACCTCTGTTCCTAGACCTCGTGCCTAACTTAGTCTTAGCCCAGAGTTGCACTTGATTCACAACTGTGATACCAGTTCACCCTAAACCCACAACACCCCTCCGACCACCGGCTCAACCTTACTTCTAATCTTTAGGCCTAATTCAAATCCATCTTCCTGCCTCTGAGTTTCCAGGAGTTGTGTCTGTTAGCAAATCCAACCATCAGCCACATACCACCCCACTGCCTGTCCAGCACTTACCCACAATCTTGCAGCCAGTCTTCAATGTTGTTGATTGGATTCCCTAGAAAAGTCAGACACTAGATCACTGTGAGAACTGAACAAAACCAGACCTCCTCCCTGTAACTAATTCCATTACACAAGTTTATTCTTACATAAGCCGCGTCATGAATCTTTTTTTTCTACATAAAGCTTTTCTTTAAGATATGAGAGGAATATACCCGTATACAAAAATAGTATATATTTCTTCTCTCTCTCTGCTTTGTTTCTCCCTTCCTCCCAAGAACTTGGAAAGTGCCCAAGACATCAGGCCCACTGCTCTCTTTTGAGAGATCCTTTCCCACAAGGGTGGATCCTTCTCATTTAAAAAGAAAAGGAAAAAGAAAAAGAAAGGCAATCTTGTTTTTGTGCTGTTTGTGTCCTACCACATAAGCACAGATGGGTTTATTTCCATCAGAATTTTTGCTTTACTCATGTCTGTGATCTCATCTGAACCTCAAAGAAGCTCTGAGGAGTGAAGGAAAAGTACTACCACTTCGATTAGACGAATAAGTCTAAGAGAGGTGAGTGACTTCCTGAAGGTCACACAGCTTGATAGTGACAGCACTGTGGCCAGAGTCCAGACCTCCAGCCTGGGTGTGGTCTTGTTATACAGACAAAACAGAAACACCCCAAAGCATTCATAGAGAGCCCCGAGCCTTGGGTTCTTATAGAAGCCTCTCAGGATGATGCAAAAATGTGCCCTTCCCTTTTTCCTAATCTTATGCCTGTCGCCTTCTCACATAATTCATGTTTCATATTACTTAGCTTTTCTCCTAAATGTATTTAAACCAGTCAAAACAGTCCTCCCTGAGAGCCTTACTAAACAAGGGACCTGAGGAGGTGGGGAGCTGGGGAGGGATAACATGGGGAGAAATGCCAGATATAGGTGATGGGGAGGAAGGCAGCAAACCACATTGCCATGTATGTACCTATGCAACAGTCTTGCATGTTCCTCACATGTACCCCAAAACCTAAAATGCAAAAATACATACATACATACATATATATATATATATAAAATAAAACAAGGGACCTGCTCACACTCTGCAGACCTGGGCCTGCTGTCACCAGATAACATAGACGCTTGTCTGATGTTCGTCTCGTACCTTCTTGGAAAACGTCATCCAGGCTGGAAGGCTCATGATCTGGGATATCTTGCAGGGCTGCGGCAGCCTCCTCTTCTAGGACCTGGGTCTGCCAGTTACGGCTCTGACGGAGCCAGGCCCGCCGTTTCTCCCAGGATGTGGGGCTCAGCACAGAGGCCTCCATGGCCCTGGTCAGACTTCAGGGTTACTTGTAATAGTAATGCTGTCCTAAGAGTTGAAAAACAGTGACACTCCCTCATCCTGTGCTCAGAAACCACCATGATGCTCAGGGTTGCCCCTTGAATTTTCCTCTCTCTGCACAAAGGAGTTGGTCTGTCTGCCAGTTCAAGAGCAGGGAGGACATGCCTAGCTCATTTTCTGTCTCTCCTGTAAAAAAAGAATGCTCTGAAAATTCTAAATACCAGGGTAGGTCTTTCAAGTCCATACATTTGAAAGCTTCAAACATCACGATTTAATGGATATTAAGAAAACTCTTCTGACTTAATCTCTCTATCTCAGGGTAGCTGAAATACTGTACTAGAAAACATTTTTCTTTAATCCTTAAGAATGCTGTCTACCAGAATCTTCCATTATGACTAAAATATCTTTAAGCTTGCAATTCCTAAAATTCACTTCATTTTTTTTTATCCTTATCAAGACATATGAAAAAGTCTAGGATCTCAAAGGTGAAACAGATTTTCTAAGGTCTCACAACCAGGATGTCACTCTAACTACAGGAGTTGTTTGTTTAGTTTTTGTCTTGATTTGTTATATTCCTGTTTTATATATTAGGAGTCCACATATGATTTCTCTCAGAAAAAAAAAAAAAAACCCTGTGATTAAAAGTAGGGAGACACTGCCTTCAGCAATTAGCAGCTACTTTCAAATTTGTCACTTTCTAACCAAGTCTTTGTTAATAATCACTTTCTAATTTGTCAACTCATGCTTTCTACCTATGAATTTATGTCTCAGCTCATCAATGCAATTACCGATCCTATAGATTCATATTTCATGTAACACTATCTAAACATCTCTGTATTCTTCCAAGGGACACAAGGATGGCTCTAGACACACATTCAAAGAGGAACAGAGAGGAAAGAATTGTTTATTCCAAATAGAGCTTAAAAAGGCTTGAGGCTAATGTCATATTCATTGGCTCCTACTCTGTCCTGCTGCCTGTCTCCCACCAGCCACACTTGATTCCCACCACACTGAGCAAGTAGGAGTGGGGCTGCAACTCTCCCGGTCTTATCCCTGCATTCCTGTGAGCTGCCATAAACTTCATCTTCAGAGCTACACTTTTAACTGTGGGAGTAAAATGAAATAAAAGAAGAAACATAAGAAGAATACCATTTTACAGAGACTTCTGTTCCTCCAACACTTAAAAACAAAACCATGAGTGAGGCATCCAACGATTTAGGCACTGAAATAGCTATTTTCGGAAAGAACATCCTGAACGTAAAATGCATTCCTAGGGCAATAAAATTGTTTTAGATGTCTCCGCTTGTTACAGACAAAACATACCTAGGAAAAAATAATACATAATTACTGTTGTCTGATCTAAATTCCTTCACCTCAGGTCCCATCCAAGACATATTTTTCTCCCAGAAGAAATGGTAGTTAGCACTGTGAGTCTTTGCTCCTTAACCCTGAGCACCTAGCTCTTTGTCTACTGCCTGTGCCTTTTAGAGAAAATTACATCATTGAATTAAGTTTGTGTCATAAAGAAGCCTCAAAGAGGAGTAGCAGAGGTGACTTGCTGTTCTTTTGTCAGACCTGTTGTGAGGAGGTTAAGAGAGGATGAAACTGCCACTAGAATGACCTTAGGACAATAATCAAAAAGCCTTGATCAGTTTATTTACCTAGTCCTGTGCTCCAAAATATTTAATAGACTGATTCCAGACAGCCCAAGGAAGGAAGTCTCAATGGCTGACTTGCCTATTGTTTTTAATTCCCAAAGGAAATTGACCTCTCCTAAATCACTGGGAATCTTCAGCTCACAGAATAGTATTGGTAGTAGAACTCAAAAGGAAGGCAGGAAGCCAGGAGGGCAGGAAGGCAGAGGGGCACAAGGGTAGGCAGGGAGGGAGGAAAGGAAGGATGAGGGGAAGAATATCTGGCGTTCATACTTGACTCTGCCACTTACAAATGGTATAACCTTGGAAAATTTCATCTCTTTATTTGGTCTCAGTTTGTCAATGAAAACATTACAGCCCTAACATTTGATGCTTCCAGTACTACAGACTTCTGGATATGCTATTTTACAGTCAAACCCCTATAATGCCTAGCACAATTCCAGATCTCACGAATTGAAGTGGAGGTAGGGGGTTTCAACATCCTCTGTGACATGAATCTATTTACAATCCTCCTACATCTTCAAAAACATATCACAATAATATAGCCTAATGTTCTCTGCATTCCCTGAAAATACTTATCTCTTATTTAACGTCAATGTTCTAATATTCTTTCCCCCCTCCTCTTCCTCTTCCTCCATCTTTGCCACACTCACCCTGCAATGTCCATCTCTTAACCAACCTCCCCATGAAGCCATGCCTGACTTCCACAAAATAACTTAATCACATTCACTGGGCTCTTTCTCTGCTTGATGTTTTTTTGTTTTTTTTTCCTGCTTAGGTATTATCACTAACATAATTTACATTTTATTTATTTATCTAATTTATTGTTTACTCTTCTGATTAGAATACAAGCTCCAAGAGGACAGAAATTTTTGGGTCATTTACTGCTGTGTTTCCAATGCCTAAAACAGAATTTAACACATTGTAATCACTGAATGAATAATCATCCTCTTAATGAGTGACTGTTTAGAAGGTGACCGTTCCTCAGAGGAGCCCAGTGCCTTACAGAGTCATCAGAGATACAGGCAGGGAGATCAACTTCAAAACAGTAACAATAAGCTGGCAACCATGTGCTTACTAAGCATGTAAAATGTGGTGGGTTGAAAGCTGGACAAAAGAGAGAGGGTTATGCTAAGACTTGTTTCTATCCTAGAAGTTCTTATAACTGAGAACAAAAGTGGTATTTTCTTGACTAGCTCCTATTCACTGTGTGTCTCTATGTCCTATGTATGGAAGTTTTACTTAATGTTAATACCTAAAGGATAATAATGCCTATGAAAATAGAATCATTAATGCTTAAGAGTTCCAAGGAAAGGCTTAAAAATAAATGGCAATTATAGATGTGACAACGAAAAGACCAGACAGGTTAAGTGTTCACTGAGAATGACAGACATTTTCCTGGCAATTTGGGCGAGAATGGAAGAATTTTTCTATGTGAAAAAGTAGCAGTGATCTCAAGTCTGAAAGAAAGGACATAAGGTAGAGCTAAGCTAATCTTCACAATTCTAGCGCACAGGATAGGGGACTGGGAAATTGCATAATTTTTTTTTCCCCAATCTCAGCAACGCTTGAGTTGTAAAGACTTGTCCATGGAGTGTTATACGGGAATACTATAAGTACAGCAATTTCAAGAGGCAAGAAGAAATGGTACTGTTTGGTTAATGGTAATAGGAGGAAGCTATACTGCTGGGAGATAAGAAACTGGGTATTTTTTTTTCTTGTGGAAATCTGCAGGAAGTGACAAATGATTATCAGACAAGCACATCAGTCATGAGAGTGTTAGAGAGAATTAAAAAATGGGTACACATAAATGTCAAGATAGCAGCTTTGTAGGTCTTGGGGCTCCTTCTAATAGAGATAAATACATGGAGCTGTTTCCTCCAAAGAAGTCATTCAAAAACATACAGTGATAATACAGTGGAGTTTGGTGCAGTGAAAAGAAAACCGACTAGAAATCAAAAGACTTGGACATTTTTCTGACTTGTCCAATTAATTGACTTCTGGTATGTCAATTAGGTTTTTTATTAGGGTATCATTTTAATCCTCTAGGAAAGGGATTGGTTGGACTCAACGTGTAAATTTACTTCCAGTGACAATGTTTATTAATTTATTTGCATACTTTTTAGGTGAGTTTAAAATATGCCTAGGAATATTACCTATAAAAGAAAGTGCATTTATATAGTTTTCCCCATTAAAAAGTTGGAAATGGTTCAGTGGTCTCTGGCGTTACTTCCCATTTACCAATTCCCTTTCAAATTAACACCGACATATGGAGCTCCTGCATGTGTGACCATCACACTGGATCCAGGAAAGTGGTGAGCCTGAACAGGCAGGCCATACAGGAGCCTCTACAGGGAGCCAATCAGGTGCTACTCATTGACTGTCAACACTGCTTGAACTTTTCTGCCTCTTTGCTTTAGCTTATAGCTTCATCCACCTTCCTCTCTAATCAAACAAATTCTTTCTACCCTTTAAGGGCCTGCTCAAGTCATCTCCTTCCTCTGATCTACCTCTAGCAACTAACACCCACGCCTGCACCATATGCAACAAGAGAGTAAGTGGCTACCTCTCTTGTCATCATGCACCACTACGTGTAACTTCTCCCCTAAACCCATCACAGAACACAACACAGTACTTAGCAAGAGAAGGGACTCCATAAATGCTGTGCCTGCAGAGGAGCAAGAATCACCCTGGCACTGGGAAACTATCCCCAATTAGTATTCATCATAGGACAGGTGCTCCTGACTGTCCTCATGGGCTTGGACCCTAATGTACATTTTTGCACAGTTTGTAGTGAAGAGGAAAAAGGCTTGGAGCATAATCCTCCCACTCTTTTGTTGATATGACATAAGGTCACCTAAGTCTGACTTAATTTATAAAGCTTGAACTACCTAATTCTCCTAACTTAAAAAATATTTTCCAGCCTTTCATTTTAAGTTGTTATTAATT